TTTTCTCCACACCCTCTCCAGCATTTATTGCTTGTAGACTTTTGGATAGCTGCCATCCTGAATGCCGTGTAATGGTACCTCATTGTGGTTTTGATTTGCATTTCTCTGATAATGAGTGATGTTGAGCATGTTTTCATGTGTTTGTTAGCCATCTGTATGTCTTCTTTTGAGAAAGAAGACATAGTTTAGTTTAGTTTAGTTCTTTGGCCCACATTTTGATTGGGTCATTTATCATTCTGGAATTGAGCTGCATGAGTTGCTTGTATGTTTTTGAGATTAATTCTTTGTCTGTTGCTTCATTTGCTATTATTATCTCCCACTCTGAAGGCTGTCTTTTCACCTTGCTTATAGTTTCCTTTGTTGTGCAGAAGGTTTTAATTTTAATTAGGTCCCATTCATTTATTTTTGCTTTTATTTCCAATATTCTGGGAGGTGGGTCATAGAGGATCCTGATGTTGTTTATGTTGGAGAGTGTTTCGCCTATGTTTTCCTCTAGGAATTTAATATTTTCTGGCCTTATGTTTAGATCTTTGACCCATTTTGAGCTTATTTTTGTGTATGGTGTTAGAAAGTTATCTAGTTTCATTCTTTTACAAGTGGTTGACCAGTTTCCCCAGCACCACTTGTTAAAGAGATTGTCTTTATTCCATTGTATATTCTTGCCTCCTTTGTCAAAGACAAGGTGTCCATAGGTGTGTGGATTTATCTCTGGGCTTTCTATTTTGTTCCACTGATCTATGTTTCTGTCTTTGTGCCAGTACCACACCGTCTTGATGACTGTGGCTTTGTAGTAGAGACTGAAGTCAGGCAGGTTGATTCCTTCAGTTCCATTCTTCTTTCTCAAGATTGCTTTGGCTATTCGAGGTTTTTTGTATTTCCATACAAATTGTGAAATTATTTGTTCTAGTTCTGTGAAAAATACTGTTGGTAGCTCTTTAGGGATTGCATTGAATCTATAGATTGCTTTGGATAGTATACTCATTTTCACTGTATTGATTCTTCTGATCCATGAACATGGTATATTTCTCCATCTATTTTTGTCCTCTTTGATTTCTTTCACCTGTGTTTTATAGTTTTCTATATATAGGTCTTTTGTTTCTTTAGGTAGACATATTCCTAAGTATTTTATTCTTTTCGTTCCAATGGTGAATGGAATTGTTTCCTTAATTTCTCTTTCTGTTTTCTCATTGTTAGTGTATATGAATGCAAGGGATCACATCCTTGGCCATAAATCTAGCCTTGGTAAATTCAAAAAAAATTTAAGCCATTCCAAGCATCTTTTCTGACCACAATGCAGTAAGATTAGCTGTCAATTATGGAGAAAAATTATTAAAAATTCCAACATATGGAGGCTGAACAACACGCTGCTGAATAACCAACAAATCACAGAAAAATTTAAAAAGATATCAAAATATGCATAGAAATGAATGAGAATGAAATCACAACAGCCCCAAACCTATGGGATGCTGTAAAAGCAGTGCTAAGTGGAAGGTTCAGAGCAATACAGGCTTACCTCAAGAAACAAGAAAAAAGTCAAATAAATAACCTAACTCTACACCTAAAGCAACTAGAAAAGGAAGAAATGAAGAACCCCAGCATTAGTAGAAGGAAAGAAATCTTAAAAATTAGGACAGAAATAAATGCAAAAGAAACAAAAGAGACCATAGCAAAAATCCACAAAGCCAAAAGCTGGTTCTTTGAGAAGGTAAATAATATTGACAAACCATTAGCCAGACTCATCAAGAAACAAAGGGAGAAAATTCAAATCAACAAAATTAGAAATGAAAATGGAGAGATCACAACAGACAACACAGAAATGCAAAGGCTCATAAGAGACTATTATCAGCAACTATATGCCAATAAAATGGACAACTTGGAAGAAATGGACAAATTCTTAGAAAAGTACAACTTTCCAAAACTGAACCGGGAAGAAATAGAAAATCCTAACAGACCCATCACAAGCACGGAAATTGAAACTGTAATCAGAAGTCTTCCAGCAAACAAAAGCCCAGGACCAGATGGCTTCACAGCTGAATTCTACCAAAAATTTAGAGAAGAGCTAACACCTATCTTACTCAAACTCTTCCAGAAAATTGCAGAGGAAGGTAAACTTCCAAACTCACTCTATGAGGCCACGATTACCCTAATACCAAAACCTGACAAAGATGCCACAAAAAAAGAAAACTACAGACCAACATCACTGATGAACATAGATGCAAAAATCCTTAACAAAATTCTATCAAACAGAATCCAACAACATATTAAAAAGATCATACATCATGACCAAATGGGCTTTATCCCAGGAATGCAAGGATTCTTCAATATTCACAAATCAATCAATGTAATACACCACATTAACAAATTGAAAAAGAAAAACTATATGATCATCTCAATAGATGCAGAGAAAGCCTTTGACAAAATTCAACATCCATTTATGATAAAAACCCTCCAGAAAGCAGGAATAGAAGGAACGTACCTCAGCATAATAAAAGCTATATATGACAAACCCACAGCAAACATTATTCTCAATGGTGAAAAATTGAAAGCATTCCCCCTAAAGTTAGGAGCAAGACAAGGGTGCCCACTCTCACCACTACTATTCAACACAGTTTTGGAAGTTTTGGCCACAGCAATCAGAGCATAAAAAGAAATAAAAGGAATCTAGATTGGAAAAGGAGAAGTAAAACTCTCACTGTTTGCAGATGACATGATCCTCTACACAGAAAACCCTAAAGACTCCACCAGAAAATTACTAGAGCTAATCAATCAATATAGTAAAGTTGCAGAATATAAAATTGACACAAAGCCCATTCATTTAAAAAGCTCTTAGTCAACTAGGTGTGGAAGGAGACTCCCTTAACTTAATAAAGTTTAACTAAAAAGTGTACAGCTAACATTATATTTAATGGGGAGTGATGGGAGTTTTCTTCCTACCATGATTTTTTAAATACTGACTTAAACTTTTCATTTTGAGATAATTATATATTCCCATGTAGGTATTAGAAATTAGATGCCATGTACCCTATACTAAATTTCCTCAGTAACACCTCACAAAACTACAGTGCAATATCATAAGCGGGATGCTCACATAGATACAGTCAAGATACACAGATGTGATTTAGTCGTGTCTGACTCTCCATGGGATTTTCCAGGCAGTATTACTGGAGTGGGTTGCCCCTCTCCAGGGGATCTTCCCAACCAGGGCTCAAACCTGGATCTCCTGCATGGCAGGCAGCTTCTTTACCAACGGAACCATCAGGGCAAGATACAGAACATCCCATCTAAACAAGGATGCCTCATGATGTCCTCTATAGCCACACCATCTCTCCTTTCACCGTTTCCTGTACTTAACCCCTAGCAACCACCAATCTGTTCTCTATTTCTATATTTTGTCATGCAAAAGTGTTATATAGATATAATCATAGAGTGTGTAGCCTTTCAGATTGGTCTGTTCACCCAACATTTTCCCCTGGATTCATACAAGTTACTATATTTATCAATAGTTTGCTTCTTAACTTTCTGAAAAGTGTCCCATTGTATGAATGTATTGCAGTTTGTTTAAACCATTCCTCTGTTGAAATAAAGATGTCTAGGTTTCCAATTTGCGGCTATTATGAATGACACTGCTATTAACACTAGAGTACAGGTTTTGTGTGAAAATAAGTTTTCATTTCTCAGAAATAAATTCCCAGGAGTGCTGCTTCTGAGTTATATGGCAATTGCATGGTAAGCTTTTTTTTTTTTTTTGGAAGAAGCTTCCAAACTCTTTTCCAGAGTGACTGTGATTTTATATTCCAACTAGTTATACATGAGTGGTATGAGTGGTATGTTTTCCCACACACTTGTTACTTTTAAAATTTCAGTTATTCCAATGGGTGGGTAGTTGTATTAAGTCTGACTCTATGTTTTGGATGCTTGCTGTCAACTTTTAGGCTGCCTGCTCACCCTTCCCCTCGTGACTCACGCCTGTGCAAATTGACAAGGAGTTCCAAGTGCTCTTGCCTTTGCCCTCGGTAAGAGACTCAAAGCACACGACCCCCTGCTGGCAAGTGTGCAACCTCACCCAGACCACACTCCATCACTATTAAAAAAAACAAAAACAAAAACCCTAATCTCCTTTATATTCATTTTTCTATCCATTTTCGTATCATCTTGGGAGGCTTGTCCTGCTTTTTCCAGACAGAGCCTCATTCTGTGAATAATAAGCCTCCTCCTATCCCTTGGTCTGCCATCAGTCTCGACTTATGATTTAAGGAAATAGTTGAGTAGCAGGATAAGGGCGTCGTGAGACACCGCAGGACACAGCACTTACTGGGTGGTGAGATGGGTGATTCTGAATTTTTCTGTTTCAGCAAATCAGTGGATCCCATTGCATTAGGTAAGAAATTTAGGATATGATGGAGGCAATCTCTAACGTGGCTATTGATTTTGAGTTCGATCATAATATCTACTTTTGTTATTCCTGTTTTAGTCGAACTTATAACAAACATGACAATAAAATATAACTAGTGTCAGATATGTTTCATTTGGCAGAATTTTTGTGTGACATTTATATATGCTTCAATAACTATTATTTGTAAAATGAGCTATATAATACAATAAACATTTGGGAAGAATATCATTGTATAGATGCTACTGGTTTTTCATATGCATAGAATGATATGAATATTAGATTATGTAGGTTAAGAGTTACAATTTTAAATTAAACTGTCTCTTGATGTATACGATCAGCAGAACATTTATAAGAGAAATTGACTGGAATAAATGGTGAATACATATGTTACTTTCTGTCTTCATAAACATTAAATTCTGCTCTTTACAAACCCTGAAGTTCCCTTAAAAGGTCTGACGTAGCTGAACACTTACTCATTGCAGGAAGGTTTCTGGAAGCTTGATAATTCACAAACACAATTATTTTGAATCTTTATGTTCATAATCAAATTATTTACCTGTAGGATGTGCTGGCCTTGGTTTGAAGATCTAAGAGAGACTGAAAGACAATGATTTCCAGTGACAAGATTTTTGGGATCTTCTTCTTTTTTCAAATTTGTATTGGGCTCATGGGGAATTTCTTGTTATTTATTTTGTATATGTACATCTTTTTAATTCTCCCCCATAAGAAGAAGCCCACAGATGTGATTCTTACCCACCTAACTTTCGCTAACACCCTGACGCTTGTATGCAGAGGGGTTCCAAATATACTGTCATCCTTTGGAATTAGTCCTAAGATGGGTGATATTGGATGTAAAGCAGTGCTTTATATCCAGAGAGTTACTCGAAGTATTTCTCTGTATACAACCTCTCTCCAGAGTACCTTTCAGGCTGTGACAATTACTCTGAGTAATAGTAAGTGGGTTTGGCTCAAAGTAAAAATTTCTACATTTATTCAACCCTCTTTACTTTTTTCCTGGATCATCAACATGATCATTTATTCTGAGATCATCTTAAGAAACGTGGCCAACAGGAATATCACTGATGCTAGATCTGGGTATTATGCTGCTTATTGTAAAACTGATGCACCTCATCACCAAATAGTAGCAACATTTCTAAGTGCAATATTCACTCGAGATTTGTTCCTTCTCTCTCTCATGACATGTAGTAGTATCTACATGGTGAATATTCTCTTCAGACATCGCAAAACAGCTCAGCATGTTCGCAGTATCACCCAGTCTTCACAAGGCTCTCCTGAAATTAAAGCTACCAACTTTATTCTCATGCTGGTGAGCTGCTTTGTTTTCTTTTACTGGATCAACACCTTTCTCACTGTTTATTTATTTTCTGTGAGCGAGAACAGTTGGCAACTTGAGAGCTTTGGTAACTATATTGCATCATGTTACCCGAGCATCTGTCCTTTCTTACTGATTAAAAATGAAAATAGAATTTCCAGAATAAATTACATCAAAACAAGGATCAGAATTTTCTCTTTCTAAATTAAATGATCATATGACCACTCTGTTGTATTCTGCACTACTGAAGTAATGTGCATGAGTACAGAGTAGCTTGTTTTTCAATGACTTGAGTTAAAGCAGGTTAGTTCCCACTGAAGTGAGCTAAGAAGGCTTAGATTATGATGTCATGTATATAAGATTTAAAACTTTATAAAACAGTAACACATATGGAATGTAGAATGTTTTGTAACATAGGAAACATTATTAAATCATAAAAGTACAGAAATTGATAGTTTCACAAAGAAACACTGGTTCCCACTTTTGAGTAAGCTAACCCCGACACTAAGGTATGAAATATATGTTATGATATAATATAAGCTATGATATAATCTGTGTACTATACTTTGGTATGTTAGAAATATTTCATATTTAGTTTTAAAAATAAATGAAATTCACATTTGCTTATCAATTCAGAAATGTCTTCAAATTTTACAATAATTGCTTACCTACATTTAAGATATGGAACGAACAGAGAGATAAACAGCATCTCACAACATCTATGAGATTTGTTTTGGTCCTGAGGACTGTTCAGCATACAAGTGAACTTGGGCTGTAAATTGCAGATTAAAAAATAAAGGGGGCCAAAATTAAGTTCCCAAGATTTAGGTACCTCCTGAAGGTAAAGACCAACAGGAGAGCTTCTCACAGTTACCTTTGCTCTAAAGGGCTACACGTTCGGTAGCAGACGGCACAGCAGAAGTGTTCATGTAAGTAGGTGGTTTGGGTTTTGAGTTAGGGGCTCAGCTTTGGGTTTGGGCTTGGGGCTAGGGTTAAGATTCAGATTGCAATTTGGCTTTGGGTTAATGTTAGGTTTAGAGTTAGGATTAGGGCTAAGATTAAGCATCAGATTTGTGGTAGGGCTCTGGCTTATATTTGGGTTGGGGCTGGGGTTAAGGTACAGTTGGGGCTGTAATAGTGGTTACAGCTTAATTGCTTGTGCTTTTGGTTTCATATAAGAATTCTTTGCAAAACTGTTATCATGAATATTTACCCTTTTTTTCTTGTGTAGCTTTCTTGGTTTTGCTCCTATATTTAGATCGGTGAAATAGTTTATATATTTTACTCTTTGTATGTGATTCAAAGTAAAATGCTAACTTTTTTTCTTTTCTCTTCTTTTGTCTTCCTTTCCTTTCCATCCCTTCCCTTTCCTTTCCCCTTCCTCTATTTCTCTCCTTCCTTACTCCCTCCTTCCTTCTTTTCTTGGTTGGTGACTTGCTATCCCTTTGTACCAGCATGCATGTTTAAATACTCTCGCTTTTCTCAGTGAATTATTTTGCAAGATTTGTGAAAAACTGTTCAACTTAGATGGAGATGTGTGTGTATTTTTGTACTCTCAAGTCCATTCCATCAGTAAGTTTTATATTTTCTGCCATGCCACACTGTCTTGACTACTGTCCCTTTGTAGTACGTCTTCATATTGGGAAATACAAATCTTCCTTCTTCATTTCTCTCTTTTCATGTTTGGCAATTATAGGCCTTTGTATTTGCCCATGAATTATGCAATCAGATTGTCAATTTCTACAAAGAACTATTTCAGGATTTTGATAGGATTATGGAAATCTGGAAGTATGTTTGGGGATTATTGCCATCTTAGCATATTAAGGATTCTGATGTGAACATTGGACATGTTTTCTGTGTATTTACATATGTAATTTCTTTCAACACAGTTTTGTAGTTCTAAGAGTATAGCTTTTGCTCCTTTTTGAAATTTATTTCTAAGCACTCAATTCTTTTTTGATGCTATCATGGAAGGAATTTAAAAAAAATTATTTTCTGACTTTTCTTTGCAAGTTGTCTTTGTCTGCTTGGGCCATCACAACAAAATACTGCAGACTGGGCCACTTAAACAACAGAAATTTTTATTTTCTCACAATTCTGGAGGTTGGAAAGTCCAAGATTAAGGTTTGACAGAGTTCAGTTCCTGGTGAGATTTCTCATCCTAGCTTGCAGATGGCCATTCTCTCGCTGTGTACTAAACATTTTGAAGTGAGAGAGACAGGGTCTCTAGCATCTCTTTCTGTTTTATAATGACAGCAATTCTATTCATATTGGGTCAGAGTTCCACTCTTATGATCTCATTAATCTCAGTCACTTCACAAAGCATCCTATTTGCTTGATAGCATATTTGGAAGTTAGGGAATTGATATATGATCTTTGGGCAACACAATCCATTTCAGAGCACAGAAAAAACAATAAAACTTTATTCTGCTGCCTTGCTGAAGTCATTTCTTAGTCCCATTTTTTTTTTTTTTAGTGGATTCCTTTGGGTTTTCAATATATAAGATCATGTCATCTGTGTATAAATATTTTCTGTTTCCCTTTCCAATCTGTGGTCCTTTTATTTAACTTTCTTACCTAATTGCTCCAATTAGGTTCTTCAGTGCAGCACTGAGAACTGGCAAGAGTGGACATTCTTCTCTTGTCCCTGATCTCAGGGGCACAGCATCCATTCATTTGCCATTTGATGTGATATTAGCTGTGGGTTTTTGTAGATGCCCTGGATCAGTTTGAGGAAGTTCCTTCTCCCTAGTCTGTTGATTATTTTATCATGTACTAGGTGAGAGGGCTGGAAAGACAATGGCTAAGAAGAGCTGCAAATCCTGGCCATTGATGCAGTGAGCTCCTTGCTGTATATTGAAGCAGATGATGTGAAAAGAAGACTAATAATGCTGACCTCTACTGATCTCTTATCATGTGCTCAGCACTCTCCTAAGTGGTTTACATGCCTGACTCATTCAATCATCACAGCCATCCGAAGTTGTTCAAGTGCATTTATTAGCCTTCTTTCTCATATGAGGAAACTAAGGCTCACAAACATTGACTCTTATATCTGGTTGGTAGAGCTGGGCTTCAGATGGAGTTCAGAATCTGAGCAGTATATCACCCCCTGAAGGAGGAAGGCACTTGGGGCGTGAGGATCTTGATGGAGGGGAAGGAGTGGGGTTAGAGTGCTGCAGGAGAGGTGGCTGTGGTCAGAAGGGATGTAATCAATGAGTGTTCATGCCCAAGACACTGTCTTAGGTGATTGGGATGAATCAGTGACCAAATTAGGCTAGGTTTATCTGAGCCAACATTCAAACAATGCACGACAGATAGTAAACCATAGCTACAGCAGGTGGCGCCTATAATTACATTAGAATATGCATAAATACTATGTGGTAAGGCGGAAGATAGGAATGCAGAGGATAGGGAGGGGCAGGACTGTCAGTGTTAGTCATGTTGAAAAGCTACATTTATACTAGTTAGTTGCTCAATTATGTCTGACTCTTTGCGATCGCATGGACTGTAGCCCGCCAGACTCCTCTGTCCATGGAATTCTCCAGGCAAGAATACTGGGGTAGGTTGCCATTCCCTTCTGCAGGGGATCTTCCCAACCCAGGGATCGAACCTGGGTCTCCTGCATTGCAGGCAGAGTCTTTACCAACTGAGTCACCTAGGAAACCATTTACATTTACACTAAGGGAGTGAAGAATAAGCTGTGCAGAGTTATGGAAGGAATATCCAGGAGGAGGGATTAAGAAATCAAGACCCTTAAGTGGGAGTTGCCAGGTATGTTTGAGACCAACAAAGAAGCCAGTGTGAATTATGTTTATGGCTTTATAGTTTTGGGGATTTTTGATTTTTTTTTGGTTTGTTTGTTTTGATGGATAAACATTTGTGTATTTGGGTTAAGATTATAGGTTAGGTTTTATGGTATAGTTTAGGGGTTAGGTTTTTGGGATTAAGGACTAGGTTTTAGGGATCATGTGTTAGGTTTAAAGGAAAAGATGTTAGGGATTAGGTGTTTGATTAATGGGTTATGGCAGGGGTCAAGGTATGGGTGCAGGTTAGGATTCAGGTATGGGCTAGTGTTGTTGTTTCAACCACTAAGTCATGTTCAACTTTTTGCAATCCCGTGGACTGAGGTTGTTGATATTTCTCCTGGAAATCTTGATTCCAGCTTGTGATTCATGCAGTCCAGCATTTTGCATGATGTACGCTGCATGTAAGTCACTCAGTCGTGTCTGACTGTTTGTGACCACACAGACTGCAGCACTCCAGATTTCCCTGTTCTTCACTGTCTACCAGAGTTTGCTCAAACTCATGTACATTGAGTCAGTGATGCCATCCTGACTTGGGCCAGATGTGTGTATTTGCTGACCATTCAGTTTAAATGTTGCAATGTCCAGTTTGTCATATTTTATGGCTTTCTTGGGTTCCCCAGTTTCTCAGTTTTTCCAGACATTGCAACACCATCCCTCGATGATTCTACTTCAGGGGCTTCCCAGGTGACGTGGTGGTAAAGACTCCACCTGCCCATGCAGCAGAGTCAGACACAAATGAGGGACTGAACTGAACTGAACTGTGCTGGGTCTTCGGGTGCAGGCTCTTCTCTAGGCATGGTGAGCACGGGCCATAACTAGTTGTGGTGTGTGGGCTTCTCAGTGAAATGGCTCCTCTTGTTGTGGGGCACAGGCTCTAGGGCTCATGGGCTTCAGTATTTGCAGCACGTGAGCTCAGTGTTGTGGCTTCTGGCATCTAGAGCACAGGCTCAGTCGTGGGGGCCCATGGGCTTAGTAGCTCCACAGAAGGTGGGACCTTCTTGTACCAGGGATCTCCTGCTTCTCCTGCACTGGCAGGCGAATACTTTACCACTGAGCCTCCAGGGAAGCCCTCAGGCATCTTTTAGATTCTAGTTTTCCACACATGTATTTGGTGAGAGAGGCCACGATCAAGAGGCCTGGGAGCTGGGAGTCCTCAGCCACAGTTCTGACTGTGCCATCAAAAGCTCTGGGGCCTTTGGTGAGTACCTCAACTTTCCTGACAGGAGACTACCGCACCAGGTAAAGCGTCTGCCTACAATGCAGGAGACCCGGGTTCGATCCCTGGGTGGGGAAGATCCCCTGGAGAAGGAAACGGCAACTCACTCCAGTATTCATGCCTGGAAAATCCCATGGACCGGGGACAGCCTGGTGGGCTACAGTCCATGGGGTCGCAAAGAG